ATTGTATCAATGGCGGCTTTCATAAAGAAATCGTACTTTGTATAAAATTAGATTTATGTAAAAACTTTATGCTATTTTCTTTGGTCATTTAGAAATGTCATTTTAAATAAAGGTAGGAGCACGTACATACCGAAATATTAAATTTATCTTCGATAAAGTATAAGGAAACAGGAAACAAAAAATGAATCCTCTTATGTGACAATGAATGCCAGACAATTTCCTCAAAGTTGAAGAACAGACTTGAATTTTCGGGGGAACAAAATTATGAAAGAGAACCTGGAGACTTTAACCCTCATAGGACAAATGGAATGCAAGAGGAGAAGGGGGAAACATTGAGTGACCTTCAAGTGGAGGTTTTGCAAATGGATCCCAAAACCTGAGAACGGAGAGTAAAAGTAAAAAAAAATTGCAAATAAATAAAAAAAAAATATGAAGTGTGGAGAGCCAGGATCAAACATGCCTTAATAGGACACATAGAAGGTTTGTTTTTCTCATAATATAAAGTTTAATACTTGGCAGAATTTTATACAAGTTAAAGTTGGAGGAAACTAATTGAAAGATTGCCATTCATAATTTTTTCTAACTCTTAACAAACGATAAATTAATAATGAAGTCTTTAATATTTGCCAAAGCTCACAAAATTAAAAAAACATATACATAAAATTATACATAAATTGGTTTATTTAAAAAAAAAAAAAATAATTCTATTTATGCATATTCGCTCTATTTCTGATACTGAGTATTTTTCACTTTTACCAGTTTATTTTATGAGTAACTTATTAAAAACAAAGAACTGTTAACAACAGTTAATTAACTGTTGTTAATACTTACTTTGTTTTCAATAAATTCATTTTGTTTTTACCTTGAAAAGTCCACATTGGACGAAACCTGTCGGCTAATAATGCAGTTCTCCTATCTATCTATCTATCTATTTATCTATCTATCTATCTATCTATATATATATATATATATATATATATTTCTATATATATATGTTAGAATAATAAAAGAACAGTAAGATATATAATCCGGTGTTCTTATTGATATTTTTTTTATTTTTAAAAAAACAGTGCTCAATGTAAAGTTACAGAGCATAAATATTATAAATCAACTGATTTAAAAATAGGGTACCTTAAAAGCATCAGTTCTGTTTCATCTTCAAGCGAATTCTTCGCTTGACGATGAAACAGAACTGATGCTTTAATTTTAATTTATATAATAAAATTTCAATTTTCCGCTTCGGTTTTTGAAACATGGTAATTCCTGTGCAGAGAAGGTACCTATTTTTTAAATCAGGATATTTATAATATATATATATATATATATATATATATATATATATATATATATATATATATATATATATATATATATATATATATCATTTAGCTACAGACGAAGCGTCAGTTTGGCAAGGTCGAATTACTCCTTTTAAATTCCACATGATTTCTCTCGAACACTCCTATCTGCTCGAAGCGTGTCTTTACGTAAACAAATGATATCATATATTATGAAATAGATTAAGTCCGACAATTATTTTAATATATTTATTGCTTATACGTTATTTTTAAGTAGACATATTCATAATAAACAGTCTTAGCAATATTTACCGTCCGAGAAATAAACATCCTCTCTAGGTAAAAGTTATAGCCTGAGGCCGTCATCAACAAATTCAGGAGTTTTCTTTTTCTCATCAGAAAGATAAGATTGAGTTTTTCGAGTTGCCGTACCTTGGTAAACACCATTAAACTCATCCAGCTATTTCCGAATCCTCTGCACTGTCCCCAGATTGACACCCAAACACTCTGAAATCTTCTTTTTCGAGCTTCCGGCACGAATGCCAAGCAGTACATCATGCCATTTCTAAATTTCTGTCTGCCTGAATTGCGTCATGGTGTTCTTTTTCTCACAGACGATGCCCAACTGACCCTAGTGTACTGTGCAGTTGACAAAATCAAAACCGAACAACGTGCATGCGCGAGATAGATATAAAATGGCGATAATTTACCCATCGCACCCTGTTCATTGTGAATGACATTGAAACAAATAATTCATATATCTACTACTGTTAGATATAGAATATTATCATTGTTATTTGTCGAAGCATTTTCATCTAAATAATTGATATATTCATTGTTCTTTAAGGCCGATGACATATGGCCATTGGTATTTTATAAAACACGCTCAACTAAAGAAAAATATTTCCATTGTTATTTAGAACGTATAGGCTATAGCCATTGGCTGTTGCCAAAACCTGTTCTTTCTCTTGGTTCCTGTATCCATTGTCTTTTATGCAACATAAAATTGAATCCACACATAGTTTATATGTCGCTAAGTCTCATATGATGATGGTCTGTAGAAAAGAATGCTAAATATAGTGTTGACTAATACTTAAGAGGAAAGTCGAACGAATATCATGTCACATGAATGAATCGTAAGCAGCCTCCTTTCTGCAGAAACCCATATTGGTTCTTGTAACATTTACACCCAAAACTAAATAGGAACTAAAAAAAATTCCCGCTCATTGTGTTCTTTTTTATTATTATTTTAAATAATCTCTACATGAAGCGAGTATTCGATAACCTTTTAGTGAAGATAATTCATTTTATTTTTTGTAGTTGAATTCTCATAGTCTAAAAATATTCTAATTTTTTAAATGAAGCATTATTTTCTATAGAATATTGAAATGTTTTCTTATGTCTGTTCTGATAAAATCCAAATGTAATAAAATGTAAAATAATTTAAAATTAATAATAATGAATGAAATTACCAAAAGTTTTCTCTCTCTGTCTCCATATATATATATATATATATATATATATATATATATATGTATTTATGTATGTGTGTGTGTGTGTGTTTTGGGGTAGCAATCCCTCTTTTATAGATGTTTCATTAAGAACGACTGACAAGGTACTGCGGTTAAGTATTTATTTTTCTTATGTCCTTATAATGTTCGTCTTTTGTGGATGTAAATTATGTGGCCATTTTTCAAATGTTTTGTATGTCCGAATGCTTTAGGGAATAATTTTAGCCATTATCAAGGATGATTTTATTTTTAATTTTAACTGAATCTATGGACTGTTTTATGTATGGATCTAGAGGAATGTTTTATTTTCAATAGACGATCAGCACATTGTATCTGTGTTTATTGTCCATATTATGGTGTGTTGGCTTTTTTATCATTTCATTAGCAATACTTCCATTATTCTCAGCCTTTTTACATGAGAATGAAGCTATTATATATGTATATTATCAACGAGTATGTTGCAGATGGAGTTTAGTAGGTTTCCTTGTGTATTCAAATGAGATCTTATTGAGCTATGATCATAGAGATAACAGTTCTTTAATGTTTATACACAGATACATACATACAGAAAACAAATATTATTTACCAATTCACATCTCTTAAGGAACTGTGTTCCTGATCAACCTCATTACCTTGTCATTTGTTTTTAATGTAACTTGTGTAAAAGAGGGATTCCTACTCAAATATATATATACTAGCAGTAGAGCCCGGCGTTGCCCGGGGATATAACAGTAAGAGATAGATCAAGTATCGACCATCATAAAGACTGAAAAATAAAATTCACCAAGATTATTGTTGAGGTTGACGGACACGCATGTCTTAATTAGTTATTTTTTGTTTGTTTTTTTGTTTTACGAATTGGTCAAACCTAAATTCAAACAAAAACATTGTTTTCAATCGTTATGAGTCTACCGATTGAATAGAATTTTATTTTAAACAATTGTTTTGTAAATCGAATTTTTAAAGCATTCTGAATGTAAAAATAAAGAAAAAAGTGTGCAATACAATAAGAAACACTACCTGCCAAAAAAAAGTGAAGTTTTGTTGAAATCGGTTGAAAAATGTAGGAAATCCGATCCCATATATAAACGAACACACACACAAACACCCTGGGTTTTATAATAAGTATAACTCGATATGAGTTGTCCCCCTTTCATTCTCGCGATGACTCTTAAACGTGTTTTCAAATTGATCTCGTGCAAAAAAATTGTGTTTTTCCAATTTTTGGCGCTGTCAGAACCACCGCAAGGTAATTTTACGTAGTCCTGTGAAGTTTTGTTGAAATCCGATCCAATATATAAACGCACACACACACACACACACACACAACCTGGGTTTTATAATAAGTATGATATATATATATATATATATATATATATATATATATATATATATATAACAGCCTGTCGCCTCTGAGTGTTGACTTCAATGTTCATTTCTATATTTATATTTACATACGCTCTGTCTCTGATATTAAGCACTTTATCCCATAATTATAGCACACCTTAAAACTATATTTCTACATACATATATATATATATATATATATATATATATATAATCATTATTTTTATTATTAAATATAAATAAGACATACATGAATAATGATACATTGAAATCACTTATAAGTTAAGAAAACTTTAGAGGGAATATTATTAAAAATGACATTATGTCGATTAATTTTAATCATCGACTTTTCCAAATTACGAACAATTCTACGAAAAAAGGAGGGACTTCCACCAGAAATTTTCTCAAACATAAAGCAATCCATAGATTCAGTTAAAAAGTAAAAATAAAATTCATCCTTGATAATAGCTAAAAGTATAACCGAAAGCGCTCGGACCTACAAAACATTTGGAGAATTTCCTTATAATTTACGTCAAGAAAATTAGAAAATTAAAAGAATACAAATAAAAAAAAGAAGAAAACTTAACGGCAGTACATCGTCAGTCGTTTTTCTTGAAACCTATATATATATATATATGTGTGTGTGTGTGTGTGTGTGTGTGTGTGTGTGTGTGTGTGTGTGTGTGTGTGTGTATCTATATTATATCAGACTGTTGAAACGAATTTGTACCTGTTAAATAAATAAAATTTGAGCCATTTCCTTACGAAACGTGGATGTATCTACATTATAGAGAAACTATCTTTTGATAACTGAGTATTTACGTCAATGATCCGGGAAAATCACTTAATATAAAATGGCAACAGTGAGTGAGCGGATGAGAGAGTGAAAATCAGAAAAAGAAGCATTATAATGCCCCCCCACAAAGCCACTATCAACATCGCCAGTATTTAGATGCAAATGTTTTGATCAAAACATCATTTTGACGTCACGCTTTTTTTTCTCCTTACCGTGCATCCGTTTGCCCTCATTTCTCTATGTTAATTACATGCAAATAACTTTTTCCGCGATATTTGCGAAAAGGCCAGTTTCCACGTGTGAACATTATGTCATCATTTGCTACCGAATCAATCAGGGACAGTGTTCTTGTTGAAGATGCTTTTGGTGATAGTCATTGATTATCATAGCGTAAAGTTAATGGTCTACAGTTAAGCATCCCATTTTGAAGTGGATTCTCTGTGATGATACACTCTTTCTTCATATTCATTAGAACTATTCGTAATTTGCATTGTAGTTGGTCATTCTTTGAATCATAGTTAGCGTGAAACCCTTGTTAATTAATTAATTAATTTATTTATTTTACTTGTTTTTCTTTATATATTTTAATTATTGTTTTCAGTTTTCGACTTATAAGTAAAATTTGTTTTCGTGTCTGAACTTTGAGTTGCGTTCTGATCGTTTATTTAGTAGTTTGTATTTGTCTGGGAAGCTAATTATTGCTATTTTTTTTTCTCCAAGCAGAGTTTCATCATCAAATTCTTACTACTTTGCTTAAAAATCGAAAACTGAAAAAAATAAATAAAATAAAAATAAATAAGCCAAAAAAGTAAAATAAATTAATCCAAATAAATAAATTAATTAAATAATAAACAAATTAACAAACCACTCCCGCCAAATAACCGTTAGAATAGACTACCCAAAATGCAATAGACTGCCCACAATGCACCACTGACCGGTATATATGAATATTCGAGAAAAGCACAACGTGGTCTGATGATTGCGTTTATCATGAAAGAGCCTGTCGCCTCTGAGTGATAACTTCAATGTTCAATTATTTATATTTACATACGCTCTATCTCTGATAGTGAGCACTTCAATTTACCCCATAGATATAACATACCTTAAAACTATATTTCTTCATACACGCAAGCATACACACAAACACCCACCCACACCACACATATATATATATATATATATATATATATATATATATATATATATATATATATATATATATATATATATTTCACTGATCCTTATTGAAACATGTCAACATCAGAGTTATTACATTCATAAATGGTATATTTTATCGTAAGCAACCCAATTAATCAAATTGGAATAAGTGACCTCCCAATATTTTCGACAATATTTGTAATATGATTTCCTGTGTCTGATGCCCTGAGACTTTGGGGCGGTTTTAGATCAGAGATCTTCTTATCTCAGGCTGTCGACCCACAAGTCAGATGATTAGATGTCAGATTTTTGTATAAGCTCTCAAAAATCGATTTAGTGTCCTTTTTGTTTGCTCCTTTTATTTTCCTTCTTTGTGTGAGATAGGAAGAAATGCGCGGAGTAGTGCTAGAAAACTCCCAATGAACTCTATTTGAAATGTATTATGTTTAAAAACCGAAAGTGTATTAAAGAAAACTGTCGGCTTTAGAATGATACTTGATCTAACTTTACTGGACAAAATCGGAATGTCTTTCAAATAGTTTGTAGATTTCTTGCGAAATGACAATAATGCTAATCTAATAGTTTGTATATAATCGTATTCATAGACAATTCATTTTTGTTTTTGAGCCAGAGATCAGGATAAAGTTTTAAGGTCATCTGTCATATCCAGGGATCAAGTAATGTTAGGCCTAACGCAGATTCGAATGAATCGGGATCCCTGAGACGGTTAAAATACGACAGCAAAAAAAGTAAAACTGCATTGTTTCCACGAAGATTGTATCGGAATGATGTTCTGCAAGACGATTTTCCTGATCATTGGTTCGATCATCATTAAGAGCTTTCATCTCTGACTTAATCTGCATTGCACAAAGCTTTTGCATACAGTTTTATATTCGCTTGTTGTTAAGCTAAAGCTATTACCATAATTTTGAGGCTATTCCTCTGTTTAATTAGTCTATTCCTCATCAGTGGTGCTACTATGTGGCCTTTTATAAGACTAATCTAAGGTATGCGTAAATATATGCAGTTTTGTTGCCTCTATATAAAATATGAATTTCCATTTGTGTATATATTAACGAAATAATATATTTCAGATTTGGAGCGCCATGAAAATCAAAAATCGTAATTCTTTTTCTTATCTGAGCTTAAGGGCAAAAAGATAGACATTTACAACAGCTATACCGATAAACATATCTTTATTTTACAGGTTCAATCCACACTAGGAACTCTCGGTTTTAACTATATTTCTTTACACTATTTATATTGTTCAGAATATTGTCATGATTTTTATTGTCATATTCAAGACGTTCAGGTGATATAAGTTGTAATTTCGAACCGAAAGGTATTCTAATTTATTTAATCTGAAGAAGGCATGAATATGACAATAAAGTTGAGGAGAATAGTCCAAACTATGCCAATATTATAAATAGTTGCATTACCTCATCTCAAGAATTTAGACAACTATATTTCTGTTTAGACTTTTATTTTTATCTATCATTCATTAGTGTATTGAATTCGATTCTAACGTGATGCCAGAGACAAAGAAAAATATAGACTAGTTCTTGGAAATAGTGAATCCATTGAATATTTAAACAAATGATCAGTCTAATTAGGACAGTAGCGTCTTAGTGTCCTTCAATCCAAACTCGGATTATATATATATATATATATATATAATGAAATGGACAAAGTCCGACAATTATATTAAGACATTTTTATGTTTATGCATTTTTTATATAGATATAAATATTTAAGTAAAACTGTCTTAAAATTATTGTCGGACTTTGTCCATTTCATAATGTGTGACGTCATTTGCTTACATAGGCATTGAGCAGATATGAATGTACGTGAGGGAATAATGGAAGATTGTAGTTTAAAAGCAGTAAGAAGATCGACCCTGCTAACCAAACGCTCCTCTGTGGCCCAATCGGTTAAAGGCACGTCAGGTTATATGACGGTTCCATATAGGATACAGGTTCGGAGGAGGAATATTTTCTATGAAGATTTCTCTGATATTCAGGCCAGTAAATGTTGTATAATACTGTTTATTATAAAACAGAGCATTTACTTAAATATTTGTATCTATAAAAAGAATATATAAACATAAAATGTCTTAAAATATATATATATATATATATATATATATATATATATACATGTGTGTGTACACAAAATTCCGAATTATATATATATATATATATATATATATATATATATATACATTTCATTGAATACGACAGACAAGGTGATTTCATTTAATTTTTTTTATAGAATTTCTCATGCGAACTAATATTTTTTTTTTCTTTTTAGATGATAAATTATATAAACACTATCTGACTGTTTATTTTACCCGAGCCCTTTCGGCTATACATTTAGCCATTTTCAAGGATGAAATATTTTAACTGTTAAATAAGAAATAGTTTGTTGCATGTATATATTTATATGATGTTTTCATTTGATTTTATATAATTTATCATCTGAAAAGAAAAGAAAATTATTAGATCACATCAAAAAATGTATAAAAAGATTAATCAAGCACCTTGTCTGTCGTATCCAATGAAATGTGCATGAAAGAATGATTGCTGCACTAAATACACGCACGCACACACACACACACACACACACACACACACATATATATATATATATATATATATTTCGGCAGAATATTTTCATTATGACAGGTTTCGTTAAATAATTTAGACATGTTCTATCTACGATAAGATCCTTTGATATTCGCGGATAAGCATTTTGTGTGGTTATTAAAAGACGAGAGGAAAACATCGTGTTGACTTATATTGTGTTTATTCCGAGTACTTTCGACATAGCATAATGTCTTCATCAGGGTATTATTAATTATAGAGTAAAAATTTAGTGTATAATTCTCGTCTTTTAATAACCTTACAAAAAAAGCTTATCCAAAGATCCTATAGAGAATAAGTAGACAGAAAATGTCTAAATTATTTAACGAAACCTGTATTAATATATATATATATATCTATATATATATATAGGTGTCCATATGGTCTCTTTACAGTTTAAACATCTATTACAAAGGCAATTAATGAGATATCTTAATCATTTTCTTCTATGTTCTCAGTAGTTATCAAAGTTTTTAATCACACTTGTATATTTCATTTATCCTGTTAATGAAAGTGGTACTGTTATGCTGTTAAATGAACCCCCAAAATTTCCAGAGCGGTGGGTTGGAAGGGATGACCCAATTCTCCGGCCACCTCGTTCCCCCAGGACTTCTTTCTATAGGGTAATGTTAAAGATATCGTGTATCGAACAAAAATACAGGACATCACTGAAAAGCAAAGATCACTGGTGTCATTGCCACAAATGGTGTGGCTATGCTATTGCAAATATGACAAGAAATCGAGTGCTGTCTTGATGTGATCCATGCAACTAATTGTTCCTATATAGAGGTGTATTAAATTAGTTTTAAAAAAAAAACTTCAATAGCTAATCCTTGTTTTATATCAATTTCCAAATATTTGTCTGTACATTTGCTATTGTAATATTTTTTTCATATGTAAAGAGACTTTATGAACCCTCTGCATATATAAATAGAGAGAATATATACAGGAATAACTGTAATATCGCTGAGGAAAAAAGAGAAGACAAAAATAAAAGAACAGGAATGCATGAGAAAGATCCTAACGATTGACATTTCATTTACATATTTGAAGGTCATAATTGATAGGAAAGCAAAATACATTAAGATATAGACAAGTATGAGAATGACAAGAGGAGAAACTATTAATATAGAACATATTCTTATTAATAGTAAGTTCAACGAAGACATTATTTGTCATAAAAGCCAATCTAGTACTTTTGTTAAATTTATTAAATGATGTTACCAAAGTGTAAAGCTCATCAGAACAGCTGCCATGAAAAACTTTATACAGAAGCTACTGAAGCGCTACGACAAGGTTGGGGGAAAATT